CGACTTCATCCGGCACGAAGACTGGCCATCCTCCAGTCCAGATTTGAATTCGTTAGATTACAAGATATGGCAACACTTGGAGGAAAAGGCGTGCTCAAAGCCTCATCCCAATTTGGAGTCACTCAAGACATCCTTGATTAAGGCAGCCGCCGATATTGACATGGACCTTGTTCGTGCTGCGATAGACGACTGGCCGCGCAGATTGAAGGCCTGTATTCAAAATCACGTAGGTCATTTTGAATAAACTTTAGTTTCATAAGAATCTATGTTTTGTTAAGTTCATTCTGGTTTATAAATGGTTACATAATGAATAAACTTGTTCCAATTATTTTATATTAAACATGTGACAGAATTTATGACCAGATTAGGTATATCATTGAGAACTGCATTGGAAGGCGGAAATAGTTTCTGCAATAGAAATAAAACTGTCGAAGAATCTTAATACATAATTACAAACAAGTAGTTAATAACGAAATATATACTGTATACTGCGAAAATCGCAAACACACATAATTATTATATAACATATACGAGAAGAAAAAATTAAAGGTGAAATTAAAGGTCTCTGTTTGAATACTAATAAAACTAAGGTTCTGGTATTTGAAAGGGACGAAGAGAGAACGAAGTGTGAAATATGGGTAAATCAGGAATGTCTATAACAAGTAAATGAAATTGTATACTTGGGGAGTGCTTTTAGCCGGGATGGAAGATGTGATTTAGATGTGGACAGGCGTGTCGCTGCCGGGAACAAAGTCAATGGTGCCCTGACTGCGTTAGTCAAAAGGCAAGGCGTAGTGAAAAGTGCACGCCTTGCAATACATAACGCAGTGTAGGTACCGACTTTGTTATATGGCAGCGAAACCTGGGTATGCCAGAAGAAGCATAAAAGCAAGTAGAATGCAGCGGAGATGCGATCTCTTCGTAAAATGTGCGGCGTTACCATGGCCAACCGAAAGCAAAACAAAGAGATTCGCAATATGGCAGGTTTGAAAGATGACCTTATCACAAAAATTGATAAGGGCGTGCTTCGATGGTTTGGGCACGTTGAGCGAATAAGTGAAGACCGAATGATGAAGAAAATATATAGCGCAAAAGTAAATATTAAAAGGTGTCGAGGTAGACCGAGACTAACTTTCGAACATGTGAGCAAATTGCTCGAAGAGGGGAGTCAAGAGTACTCGGATACCTAGACGTGCATGTATGAAGAAGATAATGAATCTGAAAGAAGCGAAAGAGTTATGTAAGGATCATGACACTTTGCGATCTGTTCTCTCTGGCTACCCCGTCAGGGATTGTGCGTGAAGATAAGTAAGTAAGAAGAAAAAAGGAACCCCTTATTTATTTGAAGTCGGTTAAAATTACCTTTTTTGGATATCCTGTTCTGGGAACTCGGCGAAATCCACGTTTTGTGTCGTACAAGCCAGTCTTATCAAAATGGTCTGAACAAACAACACTAGATGAGGATCGCTGCCATTATAGTTCATTTCGGCTTAGTCTTATAGCAGCTAATAATTCATCTCTTATAAAAAATATTCGTTAGAAGCCTAAAATTATAAATAGTTTTTGATAATAAATTAAATTGTAAGTACTCTAGAATTAAAAAAAAAAAAATCAGCGAGTTAAGAAAATTAATATTTACCTTGACTTGAATTTGATGTTACATAATAACACTAATTAAATAAAATATGTTGACTACATATACTTCTATGACTTAAACTAAAATTAATTACCCAAATCTTGGACTATTAGAAATAAGAAAAACTGGCAACATTCTCCCGTTACGTAATCTCGGAATTGTGCTTCGAATAACCTTTAAAATTGTGTTGGAATGACAAAATAAAAAATATTTAAATGAGTGCTTATGTGTGAAACGATATTCCTGCAGACTATTTGTTCACTTTAGTATTGTTTTTGCACCATTTAATTACAAATGGCGGCATTTTGTAGGCACATTTACTGCACGACGCCCCGAGAGCGAGAGGTACTGACGAAAATGAGCCTAGTTTGGTGCATGTGTGTGTTTACTTAAAGGAGCGGAGTTTTTTGGCTTCACCAATAACAAAGGCCGCGCAGTATCTACCTACCTTTTTTTACTTCATCTGAGAGTTACAAGTTGAAGTTGGACGAGGCGAATAGTGTAGACAGGTACTTAGATTCGCTTCGTCCAACCTCGCTTCGGCTCGGACGGCTTCCAATCGCTGTCGGTTTTTTGCGCCAGAATCAAAGGACTTCGCGAAATACCCCGAAGTTACACGAAGCGTCTCACTACACTATTTTTTTTATAGGATAGGGTGACAAACGAGCACACAGTCCACTTGATGGTAAGTGGTTGTTGTGGCCCATAGACATCTACATCTATCGTCGTTTGCGAATCAAAATGCAGATGCGTTGTCACCCGTGAGGACTAAGATGGAATGCCTCTTTTCCAGTAAAAAGGGTCTCCGGTTCTCTACACTCACCATACGAAACACAGGAGTGTTAAGCTGCTATTTGACGTTGGTATTCTGTGAGAGCGTGGTCCTTCCCCGGTCGAGCAGACCCATTCGTGCTAGAACTATACTACTAATATAGCTGCAGCATGGCTCTACCACGTACAAAACTACACGTACACTACTCGGCGTATGCCAGTTATGAATATTTTTTTATATATAAATACTAGCTCGCCAGGCAGACGTTGTTATGCCCTTTCCGACGACCCTTCTTATAAAAATCCTTAAATTCGCAATAAAAATTTTGAGGGTCATTTATCGGGATAAAAACTATCATCCTATCTGTCAAATTGGACCAAAATGCACACAGTGTGCAAAATTTCATTGAAATCAGTTCAGTAATATAGGAGTCAATCGCGGACAAACGTGATACGCAATTTTTATATAATGGGTCTGGCCACCTAATTTTGTTAAGGGTATCAAAAAATTGTATAAAAAATTACGAATTCAACGGTATTCTTATTTTTTTTCTACCTTTAAAAATGACTGAAATATTGATGAGTAAAATGGTGTTTTACGGTAAAGGCGACCGCTTTGCTCCGCATCGCGATGTGACGTCACAAAACGACAGGTCTATGCCACCAGTAGTCTTTATTGTTATATTTTTCTTATTCTCTCCATATTTATTATTCCATATTTTTCTTGTCATGTTATTTATTTATCAGTAACCTTTATTTTCTGTATTTTTTTTTTTTATTTATTTCTGTTATATCACGCTCATTTTCAATAAAATGGTGACCTAAGATACATGTTTTACCTAGTTTAGGCTCCAGTTTTTCACCTAAGAATAGTATTATATCAGATGTAAGCAGATATTTTTTGTTTTCTGAATGTATATTGTAGGTGAAAATAAATAGATAAATAAAATAAAATAAAATTTCATTTAATTTTACTGGAAAAAAAATATAAAAGCTAAATGTTCAATACTTTAGTTTATACATCAAATCAAATAGTTTCGTTGTGATTACCAGTTTACATAAAGGTCTTATTTAAACACAAATAAAGTTCAGTCTGTGATCAGCCTCATAGGCATCATCATCATCATTACAGCCCTTCCTAAGTCCACTGCTGAACATAGCCCCCCCCCCCCAAGGAATGTCGCAAAGTACGGTCCTGAGCCACCTGCATCCATCGACTTCCTGCATGTCTTACCAGGTCGTCACTCCATCTAGTGGGGAGACGCCCTACACTTCGCCTAGCGGTATGGGACTGCCACTCGAGAACCTTTCTTCCCCATCGGTTGTCGGTTCTTTGAGCTATATGGCCGGCCCACTGCCACTTCAGCTTACTAATCCGTTGGGCTATGTCGGTTACTCTGGTTCTACTGCGGATATCCTTATTTCTAAGTTTATCACGCAGAGAAACCCCGAGCATATCCTCTCCATAATTTGCTGAGTGACCTTGAGCTTCCTCATACGGCCAGCAGTGAAGGACCACGTTTCAGATCCGTAAGTCATCACTGGCAACACGCACTGGTTGTACAATTTCGTTTTCAGGTTTTGAGGTACCTATATCTAACGAGAAGATGTGTCGTAGTTTCCCGAACGCTGCCCAGCCGAGTTGAATCCTCATGGGCATACAAAGTCAAATATTATTAATAGTTCATTGATTACACTATTCATCATAATAGATTAGATTAAATTATTCATCATAAATAATACTGATTACATTGGATTAGACTAGATTATTTATAAATTATTAGTTCAAAATCATTATAATCGTTGGGTTTATTATAAGTATTATGTCATCTAATACAGTCAACCGGACATTAACTCTGACATTCGATATAATATGTAGGTAAACGGCCGTATACTTCCGAGCGCGCGGTTAGTACTAAACTTAGCAAGTTCCTACTGCACGTTCGCTCTCTTGAATTGTGACGTCACGTCACTGAAACGAGCGGGTAATAATTAATGACGTGAACTAACTCAAGTTCATAGTTAATTAAAATTGATTATATTTTATTAAATTCTTTGTTAGCCCATCGCACATTGAATATACTATATTGCAACGTTTAAATAACATTAATTTACGACAAAATAGTTACTTACCAAAATTATTTGTTTTTGTTCATGGTAACATTTATGCAAAAATGCTATTTTGATGTAATTTTGATTTTCCTTCCCGCCGGCCCTTGACGGTTTGCTTTTGGCACGTGCAATTTTTTCTAACATTCATAGAATCGCGCTTCATATTAAATAAACAGCTAATAACACCGATGCTGACTGGTGAAAAATATTATTTCGGTGAGTGTATTTTTGTTTTGCTATAAAGCATCAAGTGTTTAATTTCTCTGCACGTGTTGTGTATTGTGAGCATCAAAACAACCATTTGCATTCGCCAGACAATGTAGCTACGATATGGTTTTGGTGCAATATTTAGGTTTATTACTGTTTCATTGATTTGAAATAAGAATTGCACTCACGAACGTCTGGTTTTTTCTTAGCGTATGTCATCGGCCCATAGGTCAATTGTTATTGTTTATCTCCAGATCACTAGCTGCTTATTACAATGTCACCGTCTCCAATTCGTTACCGAGTACCATGGAAAGTTAATAAACGTTCATCAGAGCCGGATAGATGGTTGGACGAAATGGGCTTTTTCCGAAAACATACTGCTAGGGATTCCAGCTGTCTCTTCAGGGCTGTATCTGAGAATGTTTATAATACTCAGCGCTATTTTCATAAAGTTCGAATAGACTGCGTTCAGTTCATGTCTTCCAAAAGACACCTCTTTGAAGGGGTAGGTTTATGACAAAATTGTTATTGAATTAATTTGTTTTGCTTTTGATATAATTTTGATTTCGTTAATATTTTTATTTTGTAGTCCTTGACTTGTTCTTTCGAAAACTATCTAAAAGAGATGTCTAATCCATCTGAATGGGGTGGGCTTATTGAAATTTCTGCTATGAGCCACTTGTATAGGTAAGACAAATGATGATTTGGTTTAAAGTTCAATTAAAATGTTGTGTATACATGTCTGTTAAATACTTATATAAGTTAAAACTATTCAAATAGCTTATCTTAAAAAAAATTCCAGACGTGATTTTGTTATATTCGAAGCAAACAAGGGTCCTCAAACAAAAATTTGCAATGGTTATGGCAATACAATTTACTTATTTTATTCTCCTGATACTAAGCACTTTGATGCAGTGTATACTAAAGAATTCATTAATACATCATCCTTTTGCCAGTGTAAGTTACCAATTTTATTTATTATTATTATTATTGCTAATTAAACTTTAATTGGTTTTTATTTTTAACAAAAGAAATTTTATTATTTTACTGAGGTTTTAACAAATGTTCTAAGACATCTTTGTTTCTAAAATTTTATTTATAGCCCTGGTATATGAAATATTGTATGATGGTGTATACAAAATTAAAGATCTACCTTATGCCGTTGACAAGATGCTACATGATAAAGTGCCATCAAATCACATTGAATACTTTATGTCTGAAAATGTAGAACGTAGAAAGAAGCAAAAGGAAAGAGCGAAAATCTTTATTGAGACTGTCAATGATGATGAAAAAGACAAGAATAATAATGCTGTTGCTTTAAAATGTAAGCATCATACTGAAGATCCAGATAAAGGAAGTCTTGTAAAAGAATCTTTAAGTATATTTGTATTCAATCGTAGTCTAATTCAACTTGAAAATGTTTGCATTAATTGTCTTAATGTAAACAGTGCTAAAGACTTGCTTGATAATGGCATTACACCATTTCCATATAAAGTAGCAAAAGCCTTAGACCCAGATATTTATCGGAACATTGAATTTGATGTATGGAGTGATCTAAGACGAGGTATACATTACTATTTTTGGTAGATGAAATTTTTTCATATACGTACATATAATATTTAGTTTTTTAGAATTAAATTTGCAAAATTGATAATTTGTAATGCTGAAATAAATAGCATAATGACAGTATATTTTGCAGAGTTGCGTTATGGTGCTAGATATTCCGATGGTACCACTTTGCAAGTAGGGGTTAAATGTCTGTGCAAACTACAGTCTGACCAACCAGTACCATACCACTGTCATATTCAAGAGATGCGGCCAGATGGCGGCCCTTGCCTTGTGTTCATTGAAGAATTGGGAGAAAAGCGTGTTGTTAGTTATGATCAGTTAGAGCCATTGCCAGTAGAGGAAATCCGTCCATGGGCACCGCCATATAGATTTTCGCGCACTAGTTCTCAATTTCTGACGCTTAGCCAAATGCTGCAGCAAATAGGTGTGAATGTTTCTTTACTTATTTTTTTAAATTTGCTTCTTAAATAATTTTTTTTGATATTTTATTAATAAAACTTTGTTAAAAATGATTTTCAACATATAGGCAACATCACTAGAAAGCAAGGTATAAAAACTCGCATTAAGAAGGGTGATGAGGTAAAAAGCGCAGAGAAAAGCCCTCAGAAACAGACATTGGACTGGAAAGATGACAAGATAGAACCTGAATTGCCCCAATATGTTAACCAGGGCATTGACTACTCCTCTTATCAACATTTGGATTTTTTTAATTTTGAACCAATGCCCGTTAGTTTCACAATTTTGTAGATTTTATTATTATAAGCATATCACTTGACACAGACTGATTAATAACTACTATTTAGTGTTTTTTACGTATTATGCATAAGTATATTCTGAGGCAAATAAATTTTAAGTAATTATCTTGTTTTTTTTTTTAATTTTGGTTTTATTCTTATAATTTATTTATTGTAATGTAAAGATAACAATCTTTTTTTTGTAATAAATCATGGGCATGTTGCAATCTATTTATTTTCCGTCTATATATTTTTGCCTCTTTAAAATGATTATTTTCATCAAATATGTTCTAGAAAGTTGAAAGATTTGTAGAACATTGTAAAAGGGCTTTCAGTACTGAAATAACTTTTATTATTATTCTTTGTTTTAAGTAACAAACAGTCAGGTTGACATGAAAGATGCTATCTGAATTCTTATAATAATCGATTTAATAAATAGCTTGATAAATGGCACCTGTATCAATGTGTAAAATATTTTAATTCAAATACAAGGTCAAGTGAAATGTTTATACATTAGTAGAATTCCATATCATAGCTAGATTGATATCAGAATATAAATAATATAGTTTGCACTAATACCTGTTGCGTGGAAATGAAAGGACAAGTTGGAGTAGTAATATTACATAGTTGTAGTAGTAGAAGGATTAGTTAGACGTGGAACTTGTTGTAGTTTGTTTTGTGAATTATTATTGCAGGTTCCTTTTCATCTATGTGTTATGCTTTATGTTTAATTACTGGGTACAGGCTCTTATTTCTGACAGGGATAAGGAGTAATACATTTTTTGATAGACTTAACATGTACATGAAATATTTTTACTTCAGACATCAAAGTTTTCTTATGATGTTTCCCTATACCATCGACCATTTAGTAAATCAGCACTTAAAATATTAATTAACAAGTTCATTGTTGCCAGTGGTTCAAGACCTAGTAGTTCACTTGATATTTACAGTGAGCGTTTTGCATCTCAGCTACCACTTGCCATAATTTCATTTACATATTAATTATAATAGGTATGTTAATTTTTATGGCCTCTGACATTGTATAATAGTATGTCACTACATTTTAGTGTGATCAGAAACAAAATGTAGTGACAATTTGTTACTTAAATTAAATGTTTATTTGTAATAGAAGAAGACTACACTCTTTCTTATTATCTTGCAAATAAATTTCTTCAGTTCTTCAGATATGCTCTGCTTAGTTTTTATTTGATATCTAGGGATTTTATTTGATGTTACTTATTGTGTTTCGATTTTGTTTGGTTGAAATAACTCGAATGTTTTTACACTGACACTTCAAAGCATAACAGAGAGCGGGATATTCCCTTTTTGGTCTACTTGTGCTTTTTGTTTATATTTTATTTTTATTCCTCAACAGCAGAGTTTGTCAAGTTGGCTTTCTAACAATGTTAACATGAATAAAATCCATTAAAAGTGAATGAAATCAAGGTTAGGAGGATATCCATGCGGCATTTAGTCCAAACACACATATTCCTCTGCTCCTGATATATTTTTACGATATAATGTATATCCCTATCACTACCACATTCTTATGTTTTGGTTTTTTCTTCATAAATTAATTATATTAAAACAAACTGCTCATTTAGACCACTGTTAGTAGACATCCGATAAACAAATTTAACAAATAGAAAATAGAAAAATAACATACAGACGTAGCAATCCTCCTCATATTGTTCTTGAAAAAACATCAGTCCAGTTTTGGAGGAGGAAACGGAGAAATACTGGAAGATGATTTTTTAAATTTCTCACTGGTATAATCAGTGACATATTAGTTGTCTTGTATAATCATCATATCCTCTTAAGACACGGGAGTAGATGTGGTGTTGTTATGTTATACAAATCCATTTTTAGAGTTTTTTACTAGTGTTAATGATTTTAGAAAGCCAACTTAAGTAAAACTTTTCGAGAGAAAACAAGTTTCTCTTCAAGAAAACGTCATCTTGAAGTAATTGTTGGTGTATTATAGGTTGAAGTGGAAGCGCTACCCCTGATGGTGGACTGCCGGGCGGCGGGTGTGGCGGGAGTTGGCGGCGTGGGGGGAGGGTCGGGGGTGGGGGGAGGTTCGGCGGGCGCGGCGCCACACGAGCTGCACCCGCACCCACACAATGGAGCCCCGCATGACAACCATCACTCGCAAGTATGTCTGTCATATTATGTTTTCCTTTTGACTGACTCACATACTCCTAACCTCCTTTTTTTTTTAATAGAATAAGTGTGACAAACAGACACACAGTCCACTTGATGGTAAGTGACATCTACCTCTATCCTCGATTAAGAATCAAAAATGCAAATGCGTTGTCACTGCTGAGGACTAAAATGGAATGCCTCGTTTTAAGTAAAAAGGCTCTCCGGTTCTCTTCACTCACCATACGAAACACAGCAGAGCAGTATTAAGCTGCTATTTTACGCTGATATTCTGTAGAGCGTGGTCGAATCGAGCCGACCGTTTCGTGCTAAAACTATAATATAGCTATAGCATGGCTTTACTATGTATATATACTTGTGTCCGATATTAAGCTAACGATTGAAGGTAGCCTAGCACATAATGTCAAATATGTGTGGGTCATTGCAACACAACCAGACTCAAAAACCAACAATACAGGATTTTAAGAAAAAAGCAATGTGGGAAACCAAGTTCTGGTTTGAAGGGTATAGAGAGCCAGAATGATTACAGGTTGTGAGGCATTCCATCACAGCCCTCAGAGGTGACAACGCATCTAAAGTAGACTTGCAACAAATATTCAGCTATTATTCTGTATTGGGCCTATTCGGCTAATTTTATCCTATTCGATCGAATACCGAATATCTAGGTACTATTCGGCCGAATACCGAATATCTCGGTACTATTCGGCCGAATATTGAATATCTAGGTACTATTCGGTCGAATACCGAATATCTAGGTACTATTCGGCCGAATACCAAATATATAGGTACTATTCAGCCGAATACCGAATATCTAGGTACTATTCGACCGAATACCGAATATCTAGGTACTATTCGACCGAATACCGAATATCTAGGTACTATTTGACCGAATACTTAAGTGAAATCTTTTGTTGTAGTCAGATAATTGTTAAAATGAAAATATTGATTTATTTTTTATCATTAAGGTAGTCAGATACATAATCAACTTACGTATTATAAAAATTTACAAAAAAGAACTATCAAATAAATGTCTATGCACTTGAATTAAAATTTAGATATGGAAGATCATGGTGCAGAAAGACTTAATTTCTCAGCATTTTCAAGCAGTAGTTTACTTCCTTCTCTTTTCGTAGACAATCCCAGCTTCAGAGAAAAGACGCTCTGAATAAACACTATGCTTTCCAGCCCAATGCTTTTACCTAATATTAGGCTATTCGGCCAGGAATCCCGCAGAATATTCGGTATTTGGCATGTGCCGGATACTATTTCTTGCAAGTCTGTTCTAAAGCCTTCCTTGTTTGAAGTTAGTTCTAGGTGTCAATGTGCTGCAGCCTGTAGTAGCCACAACTACTAGCTGGACTGTGTGTTCATTTTTCACTTCAATAAAAAAAAAATGATCGTCCTTAACACTACATCCAAGTGTGCCTTTGATTTTATTGTTTAGGCACTACATTTTGGTTATGTGTAAGTTAGAATGAGCAAGTACTTCTGTTTGTGTACACATTTGCTGGCGCAATCATACCTTTTACTCTGTCAATAATTTCCGATTTTTATATTGTTATATCCATATTTGGCATCACTAAAAGATACCATCTTCTCTATACTATTTTAATAAAGAAATTCTAAGATGTGGTAGAGTCATGCTGCGCCTATATTTGGGTTGTAGCACGAATAGACGCACGACCGGCGACCTTTTTTAGGCGATTATGGGGTATAGTAAAAAGCTTCCTGACTTTCTTATAAATGGTGGTGTTCTTTTGCCATGCCATTATAATTCCTCATAATGGTGCACTATATCGTTAATGCTGACGTAAAATAACCAGATTGGTGATTGGGAGTAGTGTTGAAGTGGGCGACGTCTGGTACCGCAATTGAGAATCCATCTGCCAAGTGTGATGAATAAGGCAAATTACCACTAATGAGAGAGGCCCATGTCTAAAGAAGTTGAATCAAATATATTCATGCTATATTAGGCCATTTTATTGTTAACAATACAATGCCAAATCTACTTATTTTATATTTCAATAATCAAAAGTAAATGTAACTCCAAACGACGACCATCGCTACCTATATGAGGGGCGTTCAATGTATTTTCGGTATTGATATGTTAAAAAAAGAAAAATATGAAATATTTTTTATTTTTCAATATAGTCTCCTATGACATCAATACATTTACTTGTTCGTGAATAAAGCTTCTCTATTCTCTTTATAAAATATTGTTCGTCTTAGCCTGAAAAATGCTCATTTAGTACGTATTTGAGCTCATTATCGTCAGCAAATCGCTTTCCCCGAAGGTCATCTCCTGTAACTATCGTATCGAAAACACTTGTTGGCTCCCTACAACAATCAACTTGCTCCTGCTTTTGAAGTGCAGTGAGCATTCACGGCACCATCTTGGACTTACTTTTGTGAGGTGGAGATAGTCATGCAATATGGTGTGTATGGTACCAACAGATAGGTGAGTAATTTCTGGTAATATCTTAATTCTTACTTGTGCATCTTCTAATACAAGTTTTTCAATAATTTCACATTGTAGCCGCTGTGATTGAGCCACCCGCGCGAGCATCTTCGATGCTTTCCCTGCCTCTTTTGAAATCACTTGACCAAGTGTATGGTTGACATTGAAGGAGCAGTCTTGGTAAACGGCCACCATTTCTTCATGGATGGTTTTTAAAATTTTTCCCTTGTTTGGTGAGGAATTTAAAGTCGGTCATTCCTGTCGTCTATGACTAAAGGTTACATAAGAAGTAATGAGGTTATCAAGACGAAATTTCATATTTATACCTTCAGGTAGTGTCGTTAGGTGATGTTTTTTTTAATTACCCACATTATTAGCAAATCACCCTAATACCGGGAATACATTGAACACCCCTCGATATATCCAGTTCTGAGTTAAGTTTAGTTTCAAGTCTTTAACTTATCAGAAGGTTAGTTTAAAATGGGTTACAAAATTTCAACCAAAGAGACAAGAGGAAACAATTTATACATAAAAATATTGTAATAAGCATAAGATCATCATTTCATGAAAAGATAACCTTAGTTGATTGCTTTGAAAATATAACAGGCTGCTGGCAGCGGAGGAGGAGATATGGGTGGACATGGTGTTACCTCCCCAGCCTCAGCGAGAGCATCTACTCCAGCCACCACCAATACACTAACTACTTACACTGGTAAGTGACGTTAATTGACTGATACTAAAAATATTAAAATGTGTTTTGTCTGAGTAAGACAATAACTGAGTATTTTTTGAGTATTTGTTCACTACAGTATTTTTTCATAAGTTAGAGCTGTGTTCAATGAGTTAAGATATAATACCGAACATAATATAATAAGGGTATATGAAAACCATTTAAACATATAAATACAATAGTTTATGTTGAAAATAAGTTGGGTAAAAAGGTTTCCGAATTTGAAATAATAAAGTTTTTCATAATACTTAAATTTTGAAAATCATTATACTCACTTTAAGTGGAAGTTGAAAGTTGCAGTGCCTTTTTAGTTATTATTCTAAAAAGGAGAGGAATAATAAATAATACGTTTATATAATGATTTCTTATATTTACGCGAACACTACACATTTAAATAAAACTAATATTACGGATTTTATCGCGTATATTAACTTATTTTACATTCCCGATGTTTCAAGCACTTTACAGCACCCATGGTCACGGGGGGGACTGAGGTGTATGACGTCCCAATGTCATAGTTAACCACGGCTACCTCCAGATTAAAAATTATTAATTTTTGTTCCGATCTACGCAGTATGAACTTACAGTATCATGAAGTCTTGCAGTTGTATGCTTGGGTTGGGATTTAATTTTATTAATTATGGGATCCCAAGCAGATGGTAGCACCCAGCCATCTTCTCTATTGAAATTAGGATGTTTTTTGATTTCAATAGCCTCGCGAATCATCCTTGGAAGGAATCGGTGTTCTTTAGTGAGGATTTATGGTCTATTAAATCTAATGTAGTGACGGGGGCGATCCTGTACATGTTCACAGACTGCAGACTTCCCGGAGCGTCTATTCTTCACATCAGCTATGTGTTCTTTAACGCGGGTTTTTATGGATCTTTTCGTTTGTCCTATATAAGAGAGACCACATTCACAATCCAGCTTGTACACTCCTGCACCTTGCAGAGGAATATTACACTTGACTGATGGTAAAAACTGACTAATCTTCTTCGGCGGCTTGAAATATGTTTTAATGGAAGCACGCTTCAAGATGTAGCCAATCTTGTCAGTGACACCTCTGACATATGGCAGTACAGCAGGCACTCGCTTGACTGTGGCCGGCTTCACCTGTACACTGTGACGTAGGCGCGGGACTCGAAGCTTATTGTCGTGCAAAACTTGCTTGACGTGTTGGAGCTTGGCGGCTAGGTGTTTACTGTCACAGATCCCTCGTGCTCTCTGAAACAAAGATTTACCCACAGGGAACGAGAGAAGCCGGCCACAGTCGAGCGAGTGCCTGCTGTACTGCCATATGTCAGAGGTGTCACTGACAAGATTGGCTACATCTTGAAGCGTGCTTCCATTAAAACATATTTCAAGTCGCCGAAGAAGATTAGTCAGTTTTTACCATCAGTCAAGTGTAATATTCCTCTGCAAGATGCAGGAGTGTACAAGCTGGATTGTGAATGTGGTCTCTCTTATATAGGACAAACGAAAAGATCCATAAAAACCTGCGTTAAAGAACACATAGCTGATGTGAAGAATAGACGCTCCGGGAAGTCTGCAGTCTGTGAACATGTACAGGATCGCCCCCGTCACTACATTAGATTTGATAGGCCACAAATCCTCGCTAAAGAACACCGATTCCTTCCAAGGATGATTCGCGAGGCTATTGAAATCAAAAAACATCCTAATTTCAATAGAGAAGATGGCTGGGTGGTACCATCTGCTTGGGATCCCATAATTAATAAAATTAAATCCCAACCCAAGCATACAACTGCAAGACTTCATGATACTGTAAGTTCATACTGCGTAGATCGGAAAAAAAAATAATAATTTTTAATCTGGAGGTAGCCGTGGTTAACTATGACATTGGGACGTCATACACCTCAGTCCCCCCCGTGACCATGGGTGCTGTAAAGTGCTTGAAACGTCGGGAATGTAAAATAAGTTAATATACGCGATAAAATCCGTAAAATTAGTTTTATTTAATACGTTTATTTCGGCAATCTTGTTAACAACATAATACTGAGACTTCCCAGTGAGTAATCAGAGGTTTTTCGTGTTGGGAATGACTTACTTCCCTTAAGGATTACAAAAAAGTAAGATTAAGGAATGAAACCTAATAAATCATTTCAAAGTTACTTATCCATAGGAAATGCTGTAAACGATTGAATAAACCCATATTAACAAAAATTGCCTCTAAATATTGGACCAAGCCTTCTTTCCATAAAATTGGTTGACTTTTGACCACAGATGACAGACACCATTTACCATTTGATTTCATATATTACTTAACTACTCCATGCCTACTCCATTATATTTCATATGTTACTTAGCCTCCAAATGCCAGTGCTTGCACTGCTGTGTTCTTTGAAGCGTATAGAGTCAGTATGATTATAGGCTATGTGGCGTTCCATATTAGTTTTCAAGGAGACTAATCTTGGAGGACTCTATTTGTTGGAAGTTGGCTGCAGGTGTCTATGGATTGCAGTAGTCATTTACCATCAGGTGGAGTGTAAATTTGTTTGTCGCTTCAGTTTTTTAAAAAGAAACAATTTTATTATTGTTAAGTGTCTGAGCTATATTAAAATCGATTGCAAAATACCCCAATTGGACCGAAATCGGGCCAACCAAACAATAGCTATCTGCTTAGGACAGGATTATAATGTCAGAGTGTATGTGCAAGCATATGTGCATTTTCGTATTCACTCACTCGCAGTCTTATGGGATGGTAACCGACCGACACGACCGGAGAGAGATTAGCCGCAGGACCTGTGGTTTTACTTGCTTTCCCAGGCACGGAGTAACACCGGCAACTTTCTGACTTCAGGTTGCTACTGAGAACTTCTTGACAGAAAAACCCAATAACTGATTTTGGCCCGAGCCGGGATTTGAACCATAAACCAAAGTTGGCGAATAGCACTTATATATGGCACTGGTGGTGGCATGAAATAACGCGTGCTTTGCTTGGCACCAGCACCAGGCGGTGTGAACCCGGCGGGTGTGGGCGTGGGCGGGTACGCGTGCGCGCCGTACGGCTGCAAGCCGCTGGTGTGGTGCGCGCCCGCGCCGCCCGCGCCGCACGCGCCGCACGCGCCGCCGCCGCCGCCGCCGGGCGTCAACCCGCACGCGCAGCGCAGCCTGCAGCCCGCCGGCACCGACCTGCCCATGAACGGTACCGACACACGCTCTATCCCAACTCATTTTATCTTTACACACGTTCATTCATCAGGCTACGATCGCACTACCTTATGATCTGTTCATTAAGATAGTGTCGTACACCCGGAGGCGCACTTATTATTTTCCTTTTATTTTATTATTTTTATTGTGTTTGTTTCAACAAATGTGTTATTGTAATAAAATACGAATACAAATAATAAACGCAAGTTAGGTAACAAAGAACATTTCACTACGACGCGACGCTTCGTTTTAAAATGCCATTTTCCTGCGGATGTACGGCGCACACGGCGACCTTTGATGTTGCGACACGACACATAGACGACCGTATCTAAGCGAACAGACTATAATACCGTCTACCGACCGTTTACCGCAATAATTATGACATTAAATTACCACCTGTGTGTGTGAAGTAGTGTGGTTACACTAGAGTTTACCTAGATGACAATGAACTACGCGGAAAAATGTAATTTTTCAAGATGGAGGTTAAAGCTGTGGCAGTGTTGTACTTTATTATTGTCAGTTACTAATAGATAAATCTATAACATTTTAACACAGAAAACGTAATAACTTAATCTGTTTTATGTTGAACTCATGTCGCACACTCAACAAACTGTAGAGTAGCCACTTGACGCAAAAATACCGCACTATTTTTAGTAATTATCGTTCTTGACATACGAAAAGGACCACCAACGGAGCTATTGCCTACTATAATATGGCATATTGAATGTCGTTGTAACATTATGGCCATAAATCGTGCCTACACCTAGGTGTTGTTTCAATTATGACCATAATTATTGCCATATCACGGTACTGTGACCGGAACATTACAGCCAAAGACTTGTACATATGTATATTACTAGACCCGTAATTCAGAACAAAAACTTTGTAACAGCAGTGAATCGTGCTGGCGCGCCCCGGCTGATAGCTGTCACGGTAAGTGTGTCACAAATTGTAGGGCGGCCCCCAACTAGATGGAGTACCCACCTGGTAAGATATCCAAAATATCGATGGATGCAGGTGGTTCAGGATCGTGCCTTATGACATTTCTTGGGGAATGCCTAAATTTCAGCAGTGGACTTGCGAAGGACTGTAATGATGATGACGAGACAAACGAAATAAAGTTACATACTTATTTGAAACCTCTTTAGGAGACCCCTTTCACTGGAAACAAGTAACTCCAGCTTACTTTTCAGGAGTGGCGACACATCTGAATTTTGACTCTTAATCGAGGTTAAATATAATGTCTATGGGCCACAGAACAAGGGTGACGAATGTCAGTGAATATAATTTGTCCTCCTTATTCTATAAAAAGAAAATATCTAACAAATCATAGGCATAATCTAACAAAGCTAGTATTGATGCAGATATTGCAACGCTGCGGTTCTACTACAACGTGGGCGTGGAGTGCGTGTGGGCCACGTACGGGCCGCCACACGCGCCGCACGCCGCACACGCGCCGCCGCGCCACTACACGCCGCGAGACCTCGCGCAGGTACGCGCGCGCCCGCACCCACACCGTACACGCACGCGCACATGCCGCACACCCACACCTTGCATATGCCCGCGCCCATACATGCCACCTACCCACACTCCCACACCCACACTATACACACGCACGCGCACATGCCGCACACCCACACCTTGCATATGCCCGCGCCCATACATGCCACCTACCCACACTCCCACACCCACACTATACACACGCACGCGCACATGCCGCACACCCACACCTTGCATATGCCCGCGCCCATACATGCCACCTACCCACACTCCCACACCCACACTATACACACGCACGCGCACATGCCGCACACCCACACCTTGCATATGCCCGCGCCCATACATGCCACCTACCCACACTCCCACACCCACACTATACACACGCACGCGCACATGCCGCACACCCACACCTTGCATATGCCCGCGCCCATACATGCCACCTACCCACACTCGCACACCCATACTATACACACGCACGCGCACTTGCCACACACCCACACCATGCATATGCACGCGCCCACACATGCCACCTACCCAAACTTCCCACACCCACACCATACTCACGCACGTGCTCATTCCACCCATCCACACACCCACACCATGCACACGCACACACATGCCACCCAACCACTCCCACACCCACATCATAAACACGCACGCGCTCATGCCACCTACCGACACACCCACACCATGCACACGCACGCTCCCACACATGCCGCCCACCCACACAGCCACAATGCCACACCAACACCATACACATGCACGCGCGCATTTCACCCACCCACACCAAGCACACGCACGCTCTCACACATGCCACACACCCACCTGCACTCACACACACACGACCATACCATGCACATTCACGCGCCTTCACATGCCACCGACCCATACACGCATCCACACACGCACTCGTCCGCACCACTCCACGCACACACCCACGCGCACGGCTACGCGCACGCACACACGCACACGCCCACACATTCCACGAACCCACACACAAGCACGTGCCCACACATGCCACCCACCCACACATGCCACACACCCACACCATACACACTCACGCGCATGTCCCATCCACCCACACATTCCAACCACACCCACACACACACCCACAACACACACGCACACGACCATACCACACACGCCTAAACACACCACCCACCCACTCTCCCACACCCACCCACTCCCCCACACCCACCCACTCTCCCACACCCACCCACTCTCCACACCCACCCACTCAACCACTTTCACACCCACACTTTCACACACAAGCTCTCGCCCGTAACCTTGCACAGACCCACGCCCTCACACACACACACACACACACACATTATAAAAAGTACCTATTGGATAGGATATATATTCGGTTAGATTATACCCTCCATGTTTTATTTACTCTTGATCAACTCGTGACGTAAGCGTATTTTCTCCTTTTTATTACTCGTCATTTTGACGTTGTTTCGCTAATATTTGTTCCAAAAGGACCGTGATGTATTCTATGGATAAGGGGACGCTAATTAACATCAACAAGGTTGTAGAAGAGACAATGCCTAAGGATTCCTTATAAATACGATAAAAGTACGACATTGCTGATAAAACTGCGGAGGTCATGAGGGTATCTCGAAGCGCAATTTATAAATTGTCCGTGAGAAGTAAGAAAAGGGGCGTGTGGAATTTAGACGATTTACAAATAGGAGGAAATACGCCGCAATGCCCACAATTTTTAATATCATGAATTACCCATAATCGGCACAGAGGATGAGACATTGCCTGACTTTAAAAACTCTAAAATTTTACAATTTCAAATAAAGTATGTCAAATGAAACCAAAAAGTTTGAGAACCACTGGATTGCTTGTTTACATTTTATTTTTCCGTATCTTGGATATACAAGAATCACAAAAAATTAAGCAATATAAAAAAAAGTATAGGATTTTAGACTGTTTGATGCTTATAATATGTAACAAAATATCATTTGAATAATAATTATTAAATCATGGTTTATCTCTCATTGTAGGACATGCAGCAAATCTCGTTACACGACCGCCCAATGATGAATCATGGCTCCGGAGAACAAAACCACAAGCACAAGCCTCCACCAAATGACAAGCCCCAGATCAACAACCAGGGGAAAGGCAATGGTCAGAGACCACTTTTAGGACCTAGGTAAGAAACTATATCGTTCATTTAATACTTAACTGTGTAAACTTTTATTTTACTTAGGTCGAGGATAGTTACACACTGCTACTACAAAAAGTATTTAATAGCCAAAAATACAATATATAATCACTTTAATAATGGCTTTTAGGCATCTTGAAACAGGCTCTGGATTCGGTAGTCAAAGTAAAAGTGTGTCAGACCTCAGCAACGTTCTAGCATGCCGTGTTTTGGGCAACATTTGAAACATTTGAATGTTGCCAACTGTTTGACCAATCCACTGTTATAAATATTTGAAATTTCAAAAATGAAAAGTCAAAATGTAAGAAAACAAATTGCAAGTTACCCTTACTTACTTTACTTGAGATTTAGTAAATCTTTAAGAGGAAACTCGCATTTATAAAAGAAAAATTTATAACATGTGTAGTCTGCCAAGAAAGAAAGAAATTTTTAAGCAGCGTGGCAGACTACTGCTTCATTACCCAGAAATGAGGAGCCTGTATCTGAGGCTTTACTTAAAGAAATGTAAAATATAAAAATGGTTTCAATCTCTACTTGTACATAGTATAAAACAAATTCGCTTCCCGCCGTCCGTACGCTTAGATCTTATAGACTACAACGGATATTAATGCGGTTTTCATCAATAGACAGAATGATCCAAGAGGAAGGTTTATATGTATAATACATGCATATTATATAATTCTTCTGTCCATGTCTATGTAACAGAACTCCTAAATGGCTGGACCGATTTTGATGAAATTTTGTGTTGTTATTCACAATTGGATTCGGTAGGAGGCGTTGTTGTCGACATCCAGAAATCAACTGTGCGAAGCCGAGGTGAATCGCTAGTTTATACATAATATGCTATTCTTTTATAGGTTTAAACGTGGTGGCAACAACCAGGACGGCAACCAGAATAACAACCATAACCAGAACAAAGGCCATAACAACAATATGGGCAACAAGGGCCCAAACAACCGGTTAGTCAAATTAATTATAATATTATTGTTAGAACTCTCACTAGCTTCCAAATAACGTTGCAGGATAGTATATAAAATCGGGGGATAATTGGAAAACTATTTTTGTATATGTGACGGCCCAGTGACGCAGTGGCTTAGTAATGAGTTGCGGCGTGGTGGGCAATCCCGCACGGAACATCAAGTATTTGTGTGGCCTACAAAAAATTGTTCTGGATCTGGGATGTTTGTCGTTGTAAAATTCATGTATGTAAACTGCCTCTACAATACAGGAGAAAATCCGAGTGTGGAGGTAACCTTAAAAAATAATAATAAGTAGCAATCATTTTAGAATTCAGCTAAAATTTGTATGATACAAGTTTATTAAAATTGTTTCAACTGGAATCAGGTAAACCTGACAATTATATGAAAGAAAAGTTCAAAAATCTTATCTTATAGTTGTAGCACAAATGGGTCGGTTCATCCGGAGTAGCCCTCTGGAACCCGATAATTTTATTTTAATATTGATGATATAACTTTTTTGTCAAAATGAGTTTATAAGGGCCACCAAGGCCTAAAAAATATTATTATTATTATGTATTGCATACCTTAAGCAAAAGCGCAAGGTATGTTCTACTATCACCTAAAAATTAAGATTCCAACGTTTTATCGAATAAAATCACATCTAGCAATCATATTATACATATAAATGATATAAAAAGCACATTGTTAGAAAGATAAATGATTGTTAAACTTATTAATTTTTTTTTTAAATCGATTAATTGCTATTTTTAAATAAAAAAAGGGGTTTTAGTGGCTTATGGTGTGGATTTATCATGTCCCCAAGGCTTGTAAACACAATAACTTTTGAAAATATCAATTGTTTAACTCAATCTATTTTTTAATCTCTTCATCTATCATGTGGGAAGCCACTGAATGTAAATGGCAGTGTAATTTTGTTTTGTTTAGCTATAATTAATTTTTTTCGGCTCTTTATGGCGAAATTTTCATTGATTTGGTAGCCTTGTATGTAAATTATTTCTGTAAATGGGGAACTATAGCCACAGAGTAGTTTACTCACTCAGTTCGCATAGATTATTGTATATCGTCGTCGTGAGTGGAAATTGGTTTGCTTGTTTGCAGCGGCTCAAAAAGATCGATGTACAAATACACAATATTCGAATAGCCAAATTTCTTAAATACTTGATTATAATAATAATAAGAGATTTTTTTAATTGCAATATTTTAAAAGCACAGAATAAATAATAGTAGTACATACTAAAAGTAAGTAGTATAATTTTTTTGTCATGGGTGACATTTTCATGTGTTTCGGGGGTCAACACCCCCGAAACACATGAAAATGTGTTAGCCGATAGTGCTGTCGAATAGTATTTAAACTACTTTAAAAATTCCGTATAATCATGTTATACGTAATTTTTTTAATGCGTTTAAGGTATGCCCAATTGGATTTACCAATATTATTTAATATATATATATATATATATATATATATATATATATATATATATATATATATATATATATATATATATATACACATAATAATACAAGGAATGCCACAAAGCACGGTCCTGAGCCACCTGCATCCATCGACTTCCTGCATATCTTACCAGGTCGTCACTCCGTCTAGTAGGGGGACGCCCAACACTTCGCCTGCCGGTACGAGGCTGCCACTCGAAAACCTTTTTTCCCCATCGGTTGACGGTTCTTCGAGCTATATGGCCGGCCCATTGCCACTTCAGCTTACTACTACTTACTAATCCGTTGGGCTATGGCGGTCACTCTGGTTCTACTGCGGATATCCTCATTTCTGAGTTTATCACGCAGAGAAACTCCGAGCATAGCCCTCTCATAGCTCGCTGAGCGACCTTGACCTTCCTCATCCGGCCAGCAGTGAAAGACCACGTCTCAGTACCATAGCTCATCATTGGCAATACGCACTTGTTATACAGTGTCGTTTTTAAGTTTTGAGGTATACCTGACGAGAAAATGTGCCGTAATTTCCCGAACGCTGCCCAACCGAGTTGAATCCGTCGATTGACCTCTCGGTCGAAGTTGGACTTACCTAGTCGGACTATTTGTCCCAGGTAAACATACTCGTCAACAACTTAGAGCTTAGTGCTCCCAACAACTACCGGCATAGGTGTGACATGGACATTAAACATAATCTTTGTTTTGTCCATGTTCATCTTAAGACTTATCCGTTGGGAAACACTATTGAGGTCATTGAGCATAGTGCTTAGGTTCTCCAGCGATTCCGCCATAAGAACTATATCGTCGGCAAATCGAAGGTGAGTGATGTACTCGCCATTGATGTTGATACCGTATCCTTTCCAGTCCAGAAGCTTGAAAACGTCTTCCAATGCAGCGATGAAGAGTTTCGGGGATATGACGTCAGCCTGTATTACACCTCTCTGCAATTGGATAGGTTTCGTTCTCTGGTTCTGTACTCGGATAGCCATCGTAGCCCTACTGTACAAGCACTTCGATATACCGACAGTCCATTTGGCACCGCTGAAGGGACTGCAGCACCGCCCAAATTTCGACGGAATCATAGGCTTTCTCATAGTCCACATACGCAAGACATAGTGGCAAATTGCTGCCGCTGCCGGTTTTCACCCTCGCGATCACGGAGACATCACTGAACAGTTGTCGTCTGGTCGTCATAATGAAGTCAATCTCATTTTTTGTCGAACCGTTGGGGCTCGACCAGGTCCACTTCCTGTGGGGCCGCTTCTGGAAGAAAGAGTTCATCATAAAGAGTCCCTCTTTTTCCATGAAGTCCTGTATGACCTTCAGCGAATACCGTTTGGTGATTCTGAGTATAAGGTACGCAACCCTCGTCGTCACACTCTCAATCTTTACAACGTTGTTAACGAGAGACTTGTGGACGATAAATCCGACATCTCCTTGGGACAAATGGTCGCCCCGCCCGGTAATAGAACAAGTTGCCGGATTCGAGGTAATCCTCGAATCCGGCAACTTGATCTATATGAACTATGAGTAAAGTTTGTCATTACTTAGTGGGAAATAAAGAAAAACAATCATTGCTGCGGCATAAACATAAATAAATGTTGCATTTTCTGCATCTGGTTTTTGTTTGTAAGGAACAAGACTAAGCGACAACAACGAAGAGATGTAATGTCATCTACTATTGGTAGGTGGTCATATCCATCGTACCTCTTACCCTCTGATGGCTTTGTTACTGGTCAGTATCTTCGAATTCCTGAAGCTTGTTCAACCCAAAGGGAGGGTGGAGTTACCTCTTAGAACCAACACGTATTGCTGGGCCTAGTGCGACCTGTATAGATAACATTTTTACAGATGTTAAGCCCTTGCATAAATCAATTATTCAAAATTTAAGTTCAGATCACTGTGGACAGTTAGTATCACTACCTTACATACACAAAAAACAGAAAAATAAGAAAGTTGTGTTTGTTCCAATAAATGAACATCGCTTGGAGAGGTTTAGAAGTAATATAATAAAAAGACTTCCATCACTTTCGTTTAAAAATAGTGCTAATTATTTGTATGCTACATTATTTGAAATTATACGTTGTGAATTTAGTAGAATATTTACTTCTAAAACTTTCTCTTTTAACAGTCGCAAATCATTTAATGAATGGGCGACAGTAGGAATTTATAAAAGTAGGCGAAGGTTATACGAGCTTTATGATGAAAGATCATATAATAGTAGTGTTATATTTAGAGATTATGTAAAAACATATTCTAAAATATTTAAAAAAGTGTGCTCCACTGCTAAGGCTTTACATTTAAGCAACAAAATTAAAACTGCATCCGACAAAATTAAAATGACCTGGAGAATAATAAATAGTGAAACGGGCAAGGTCAAACCGCGCAACTCGGATTTTCAATTGAATATTAACAATAATTTAACGCGATCTGATCAAGAAGTTGCTATGGCTTTTGAGAAACATTTTACTGATGTTCCTTTTTTGACAACAAAATCATTAAATTCTTCTCCTACTGTCGCCGAATCATTGCTCAAACAAAATGTAAAGGCTTGTTCAAATACTTTTAAATTCCATAGGGTACTGCCAAAAGATATCGTTAAATATTTTAAAACTATTGATGTTAAGAAAACGGCAGACTTATGGGGGATTTCCGTTAAAGTTATTTTATCTATAATAGATATATTTGCACCTTATCTAGCCACTTTATTTAATATAAGCGTCGAATCTGGTGTGTTTCCTGATTTAATGAAACATAGTAAAGTCATACCTATATTTAAATCTGGTAGTACATTAGACCCCGCCAATTTTAGACCAATTTCTGTACTACCAACATTAAGTAAAATTTTTGAAAAAATTATTTTAGATCAGATGTTAAGTTTCTTTAATATTAATAAATTGCTACATAATAATCAATTCGGTTTCACAAGGGGTCGCTCGACAACTGACGCTGGAGTTGAGCTTATTAAACATATTTTTTGTGCATGGGAGAATTCAGAGGATGCTTTGGGTATATTTTGTGACCTTTCCAAGGCCTTCGACTGTGTTCACCATGAGACATTAATCAGGAAGCTACAGTACTATGGTGTCAAGAACACAGCGCTTAAACTTATTATTTCATATTTAAGTAATAGAAAACAGAAGGTTATTATCAATGGTAAAAGTTCTTCCGGGTCACCTGTACTAATGGGTGTACCTCAGGGCTCGATTCTCGACCCATTCCTGTTTCTGGTGTATATTAATGACTTACCTCACCTTGTAGGGGATAGTCATGATATAGTATTATTTGCTGATGATACTTCCTTGATTTTTAAACTTAAACGTCAATCATTTAAATGTGACGAAGTGAATAATGCTATATCAAAATTAGTGCATTGGTTTAACGTTAATAATCTGCATTTGAACGGAAATAAAACTAATTGTGTTAAATTTACAACAACGAATGTTCAAAATCTGAATACCAATGTGTTTTTAAATGGGGAGGAATTGAGCCCTGTTGTATCCACTGTTTTTCTTGGCATCACTCTTGAC